ATTCTTGCATGTAATTTTTATTTTTATTTGTACTGATACAAATAGTAGTAGCTTTATAAATTTCTATATATAGTAGTTTAATGATTAGCTCTGATCACAAGTGGAAGCCTTGATGACTGCATTATAGTAATCTATATTGTTACTATTAAAAATTATTACTAATAAAAATATGAGCAAAGCCTCATCTTATAACCAAAAAAAAATTTTTAAGCAATTTATTATTCTTATTAAATAATTTATTAAATTGTTTAGTATTGGTATCAGATAATTTCTAATAACAACAAATTTTAATTATATCAATTTTGCAAATTTACTTTTGCTAAAATATAATAATATTAATAATAATTTTTTTATTTGTATACTTATTTATATTTAGAATTTACAAGAATATATTAAAATTTTTTAATATCTAATATATCAGGATCTATATTAATTAATAAAATAAATTATAATTAAAAAAGATATTTTACTAAAGAGAATAATCAAAAAAGAATTTTATTAAAAAAACTATATGAAATAAAAGAATACTTTATAATATTTAGTTTTAAAATTAAAAAACTATTATAATAATAAAGATAAAATATTATTAATACAAATAAAGATATTTAAAGTTAAAATTCTAAAGCAATATTATTATATTTGTAATCAATAGCAATAACTAAAACCATGTTTCATAAATTATAAAATTTTAAAAATGTTAAAAAATTAGAAAATTAAAATATAAATATATATAGATATAGATATAAGAAAAAAGAAGTAACAGAAAACAATCAACCATAAGATAAGTAAAAAATAAATAAAATAAACTAATAAACTTAAATATATTATTAATAGTAATAAATACAAAAAGCAATTCTCTCTAATGATCACTTGTACCAACCAGTCACCAAAGCAAGTTGAAGACTCAGAAAACAGTAAGTAGAAGGAAGACTCAAGTTATTTTGGAAACAGAAAGCTATGAAGAACTCTTGAAACAACACACTTTAGTTGAAAAATTTGCAAAACTACACTTTTCGTCTACTATTTTCTTTTTTCATAATTTTTGACAAAAAGTAGAGGATTTGGCTACCCTTCTCCAAAAAATTAGCATTGTTTATTTTTTTATTTTTAGAAAGTCTCGAGTTATGATATAATGAATGATGAACACAACAATCATATGTGAGGAGAAAGTTCTATTTGGGTTAAATCGAAGTATGTAGAAGTCTCTTGTTTGGATTGGCTTTGACTGTACAAAAATGAAGACCTTATGCGATAGACCTGAGAAAGTAGCTTTAATGATGCCAGTTGATTATAGGGAAGACCCTCTGTTTAATCTCATATAGCAAAGAAGTAATATGTATTAGAAAAAACTGTACCATATTTGCGTGTAATAACGCACATGTGCATTATTTCGAAATTGCTATTTTTTAAAAATTGCTTATTTGACTCAAAATAACGCACATATGCATCCCGAAATAACGCACCTCTCTAAGAGTTTGCATAATAAATATAAGTATAGCGCACATGTCTATTAAATTATTGGCAATATTAATTTGAAATATCACACATATGCATCCGAAAATAATGCACAGGTACTCAAAATAACACACAGGTATGCGTTATTACACTAAAATATAGTAAGAGAATTTTGTAAGTTGAAAAAAGCAGCTCAGTATAAATGGAACCCACGATCACATGTTGAGGCTTTAAAATTTATATTCTAGGATTTGAGATAGATTTTATAAAAGTTGTAAACTGGAGCGATATAATAGAGAAATCAATATTCTGAAGTTATATGCATATAATTTTTAATCCTTAGCACAGTTTAAAGTGCATTCTAGTTTATAGTTTTTTTTCTTTTAGATAGCTCTATGTATAGATTTCTACAACAATGTAGATAGTTTTTTATCTAGTTAGCAGGCTTTTATATCTGTAGACAAGTTCTCTTAGATTTTAAAATAGTTTTTTAGATTCCTTTATAGTTTGATCATTTTTTTATATGTTTTAGTTTTTTTACTTCTTTATTTTTGTTTTACACTTACCACTTTTTTTTTTTTTTTACTTCTCTATGAAAAAGTGTATCAGATTGGTGATACTCTATTGTAGAGTAGTGATTCTAACAAGATCGATACTTCTATCTGTTGATATCTGAAGCTCATATCCTTAGTAAGTTAAGAATCCCAGAAGGAAAAAAATTGTCACTTAGGCAAGTCACTTCTGGGTCATACTCTAGTGTAAAATTCTTAGCTCTGGCTATGATTTTTACTGCAATAATGAGACAGATCAAGAGAATCTTTATTTGAACAGGAATATAGTAGTATAGTGATGTGCATGTAGACCTACTAGCTAAGAGCATTTTGTAATCTACTTCTGATTTATAAAATAAAGGTAGAATTGCTGAAGTAAAAAAATAAACTTAAACATATCAAATTTATGTATTCTAGCCAATAATGCTCTTTATAATCCTGTTTGTTATTTTTTAAAATTTTAATAAAATTAAGTATTAATTGTTTTAGAAAAACACAAGAAGTATCTAGCATTATTTGGTTTTTTGAAGATACAAAAAAGTGTTTAGTATTATTCAGTTTTTCTTTAAAGCACAAGAAGTATTTAGTAAATGATGCAAAGTTAGCTTTTATAAATCAGAAGTAAAATCAGATAAATTAGATTATAAATTATAAAAAAACAAAAAAGAGAAAGAGAGAGAAAAGTAGCATTTTAGTATACCTGAATCTATAAAATTATGATGCTTAGAAAGAGTTGTTATAAATACAAGCAGTAAGACAAATCTATTGTTTTTACTATTGTACAGCATATTAATAGTTTGGTTATACAATATATTTCAATTAATAAGATATTACTTAAAACAATTTATTAAATTACTAGATAAGATGGGAACGTAAAGTACCACTCAGTGAACTAGTATTTATATAATATAAAAAGGTGTTCTGTGTGAATATATAACATAGAATTTCTAAGTTTAATTATGATTTGCGCCAAAATTTTACTAGAATTTAATCACATGCATTGATTATTGTTGGTCAAAAATTCATATTACCAAAGAAAAACTTATATTCGGTCCAACATTTGAGAAACTACTTAATTTAACCTTTAATACATCACTAAATAACAAACAATTAAAAAAAAATAAACTGTAATTCTGAAAGAGAAGCTTCAGGTTTACTATTTTTATTATACATTAGCACATTTAAAATCACATCCTGAATGTTTGACTGCTATATTCCGAGTCAAATAGCATAAAATCGAAATATATGGATGACTATTAAAATCGATCTTGATGTACTAATTAAAAACTATTAGAAGGTAGTTACATCTTTACTACAGCAGTTTTAAGTAAACTGTATTAATTTGATGTGCCTCATATTTGTCGAATAAATACTACTAAAAAATCATTACATGACTTTGTGACTTCGCGAACCATGGGTCTGTGAAGTCATACATTTATTGTGAACTTATACTTATTGTAAGGATGTGCTCTGATGCTAGTTATTATTAGTATTTATATAACAGTTTTTAATAATCATATTTTTATAGAATTCTTTGTTAGAAGTTTGATAACTATACTTTTATAATGTTTGTTACCTAACAAGTATAAAATCAAAGATAGCATGTTATAATATTGGACATTTGAACAATATTCAATTTGTCCAATTTATTTAATTGGACATAATAAATTTTTTATTGAGTATGAAAAAAATTAGATTAAGTATAATTTAATTATGGCCTGATTAAACTTAATTCAGGCCAATATTCAAACTAAAGCACAAATATATAATTTCACTAATCCACTTTATACTTATATATGTATATTAATATAAGATTTAAACTGATAAATTTTAAAATTTCAACATGTTAATAATACTAGTGTAAAGCGATAAAGCTATAGCGTAATTTCTTGCCGCTATCTTATATATTATACTGTAACATCAAACTTTAAATTACGTATACTGTACATTATACAGTAACATCAAACTTTAAATTTACATTATACTGTAATTAAATTTTGTATTATTAAATCTGTCCAATAAAATTATTGACAATTAGACATATATTCAAATGACACAATCGGACATAAGTCCAATGCCTAAAAGTCAAAAAATTATTTGAAAAGACTAGACAAATACAGATTAGACATTGTCCAATGCTAACCCTGTTGATGGATATCTAGTAATGCTGAAACTTTTCTAACCTTGAGTAAACAAATTACTACCCTCACTCCGTGCCGGAAGCGCGGGCCAAACGCCAGTAGAATATATGATGTATCACAATGCAAGGCTTATGATTAAGTGCTATAGCGAACACAAGCAAGTTTACACCACGTTATAATTATTTGATTGGTAGACGCGACATAAATTTGCTTTTAATTATATAGAAAGGATAGAAAATACTAATGTACTGTAATGAAATAAAGGCACTCATTAAAATTAAATAATAGTCATATAAACGAAATAAACAATGAGTAAGAATTGGAACCATTTAACCACTTAAAAATTGTTCATATTTCTGACCAAAATATATTGATCGTGGGTCAGTCAGGATTATTTTATTGCTGGTTGAATTGAGCGGATAACACGAATTAAACGGTTAAACAATTATAAAAATTTTAGGCAGTTCCAATCCCTATCTATGAGAGATAAATTTCAGGATAAAGTCATTATTTATGTATTTGATCATATTATATCACAAAAAATCTAAATTATAACATTAGAATGAAATCATTATTTTTCATCAAGCTAAATCTAATCTATTCTTGTACCCAATCCCTTGCAAAGTTATTATCATCATTTTGTGCAATTGGTTGATTCCTTTTAAAAGTAAAACAATCACGAGTACAAGGGCCTCTGTCTACAGCATAGAATAAACGTTCTAGTGAAGTCGCCAAAACACAGCAACTTAATATCAGACTCGCAAATGGCACAAATTGGTACCCGGACGTCATTGTTTTATATTGTATCTACAAAATTTTTGAATAAATGTATTAATATTGATTAAAATTATTAAATAAAGATATTATAAAGTGCACACCTGAATAATAAATTGAGGAATATCTTCAATCAATATATTGATAACGGAGGTCCAAGCAATAATTTTCTCACCATCGGAAGAAAACTCGGAAGAAAATGATTCGAATCCACCAAATTTTGAACTGATTAATCGTAAAGATTGAATATCAATAGCACAACAAAATGTCATTATTGCAACGAACTGAGTGTTTTTGGGGACAGCTCTATTACCAGGACGACCCCTTTCCACTATAAATATTATGAGGCCAATCAAAAAATTAAATGCCGCTGGGAGAATAACAAAAACCAAGCTTATAGAAATAAACCAAAGTTAATAAATAAATTAATAAATGTTTAGAATATATAATTGAAATTGTAAATTCAATAATACCTTGGAGTATATAATGACGGAGTTTCCTTAGGATTATTTATTAAAAAAAGTAAAAAAGCAATTTCAAAACAAAAATCGTAAACTATCAATAGATAGTTGAACATAAAAAAATTGTCCCCGTTCCTCCTCTACAACGTCCCCAACAATACATAAATGACGCAAAGAGAAATGCGCATGCTAATCCGATTAAAGCAAACATATGTTTGCGAGCAAAATCCACTTATGATATAATTTATTTATAAGATATAAATTTTTAAATAGGATTAATAGAATAGAATTAATATAGTTAATATAATTTGATGGAATTACGATTATATTTCTGTTTAAATGAGCAATAATTCGCTCTCACCAAATTCGTCGGTACTAGTCATTGTTTATTCTATTACTTGGAATGAGTTAAAATGGTCTTTGCATAAGATAAATCCGCAAAGTACGTTTAATTGTAATATTAGAATTTGAGAGGACTCTTAAAAGAAATGCGTACATCGTTCCATCTTTTATTTGAATTAAAAGATCTTTTTCGTATGTAGTTACAATGCAATGTGTCGTGTAAATGAATGACCTTTTTAGTTCGAACAGAGTTACACTTGATTCTAAGAATTCCAAATCAGCCAATACACAAGTAACCTAGTACATGGGCATACTTTTGGAAGTATGAATATCGATATAAATATAGGAATATAAAGATGACTTGATACTAAAGGAAATCTGGAAAATTTTTATTCAATATCTCCTTTTGGAAACATTAATATATTGATTTATATAATTAAATTTATCCAATTGATTTCAAGTTTTCTATTAAGAATATCTACATTATTTACATTGTTTAAACACTTTATTAAAAATATCCGCCTAATTTCTTAATTTCAAATTCGTTAAGAACATAAGTTTTTTTTTAAGTTTTTAAATGAAATAAGCATTTTAAATGATTTGGTAATAGAAATATTTTTAACCGAAAAAGTATCAGAAGCATAAATAGATGCAAGTTCACTGAATTCAAATACAGTCGTCATCCTCTACAGTCACCTCCTATATAGTCACACCCTCTTTATAAACACCATTTTTTGAAAAATTATTGGCAATTTATTTATTAAAAAAAAACTTTATAGTACTATTAAAATTTTATAATCACATCTATTTTATATAAAACAAATCGCGTGATTATAGAGGAGGACGACTGTATTTCATCCATTACTATTTTTTATTGAACATTTGTGTATCAATGAAGCTTTTTAAGAGCATCTTAAAACGTTTATCAAAGACAATCAACAACATCAAATTCCTGTGAACATAATAATTGTTGCATACATTTAATTTACAAACTCGTCATGGACAATTGCAACGTTTTAATTACCCGAAATTAAATAAAGTTAATCTCTGGCTAGAGTCCCGAACTGATTACCGATCACCGTTCCGTCGGTGGAACCGGATGAAACCGGTCTGAATAAATCCTAATACTGTACTACAGTCAGGCATATTACCAAAAATGGAAATCGATTCTAGATCGTTCCATTGAAATTTGATTGGCTACTTTTTG